CATCCAATTTGACTGAAAAGCTTATTAAAACACAGATTGCTGACGCTACCACCAAAGTTTCCAACTCAGTAGATTTGGGATTGGGCCTGAGAGTTTGTGTTTCTAAACTCCCAGGTATGATGACTGCTGGCTCCTGTACCAAACACTGAAAGTATGCAAATTATGTCCATAAATAACCCAACTAGGTGATGAAGAAACGGCAAACAATATCAAATTGAAAAGAAATCTGGGAGCAAAAGACCACACCAGCAATATCTGTTAGGGAAACTAAAATAGTAAAACACATAAAATGGTTTAACAGTCCTTGGATTTGAACAGGTCACCTCATTTAATTTTGAGTAAGCATTTCTTCAAAGGACATGTAACATTTTAAAATAAGAGTCCTTTTTTCCTTCATTTTTTCACTTATGTACAAAATAGTAACAAGTACTTAATATCATTAATGATTAGGGAAATGCAAACCACAGTTGACAATTATTTAAAAATTGAAAGTAAACAAGCGTTGACAAAGATTAAGAGGACCTGGCCAAATTGCCCAGCTGATTAAAGCACCTGCTTAGGCAGAGCACTGAGGCCAGGGTTCCATCCCTGGCATGCCATGCCATCCCCATCCCCAGGGCACCCTGAGACTGTGACTGAGACTGGGCATGGTGACACACACCTGTAATCGCACTTGTGAGGCTGAAAACAGGAGAATCACTACAAGTCCGATCTGTGTAGTCAGACCCTTCAGACCCTGTCCTAAAATACAAAAAAAGATGAAGCAATGGACCTTGCTGATGGAAATGTAAAACAATTCCAACTCTATGAAAATAGTTTAGTAGTTCCTCAAAAAACTACATTCAGAATTATCATATGATGACTCCACTCCCAGACATGTTATTGAAAGAAATAAGTACTCAAATAAATACATGTCTATGCATTTTCATATCAGCATTATTCACAATAGTAAAAAGGGTGGAAATAGCTCAGATTTCTGTCAACAAATGAATGGATAAAAATTGTGGGACATGCATGCAATGGCGTATAGTTTAGCTATGAAGTACTTACACACACTATGCTGTAGGTGAGTCTAAAAAGTAGTAGGCTACACAC